AGTTTCTCTAAAATAAGTCGAAATAGTAGATGCCCCTGCCACTCATTTTTATTAATTTTCTAGAATAACCCAACGAAATACTTTTTTCCTCACCAAAAATAGTCAAAACATGTGCTACTAGATGATGTAATAACATGTCAGGTGTGGCTGAAGAGCGAGTGGCAGGGTCCAGCGCTAATCCCGTCCGCTTTACGGCAACCGAGGTGATCCTGCCGAATAATATTAGGCCGAATATTCGGTTCAGTTAAAGTCTTACCGAACTTTACGCTGAATATTCGAATTTGGTGAAATCCGTATTCGCCCCAACTCTACTTTTTACTGGAAACGAGGCATTCCATCTTAGTCCTCTGGGGTTACAACGCTTGTGCATAATGATTTCTTATATTTACGCGAACACTACACATTTAAATAATACTAGTTTTTACGGACTCTATCGCGTTTATTTAACTTTTTAATTACCCGACGTTTCGAGCGCTTTACATTACCCATGGTCACGGGTCATCAGCTATATGTTTTATGTGAAGAATCGACGCTCCGGGAAGTCTGCGGTCTGTGAACACGTACAGGATCTCCCCCGTCACTACATCAGATTTGATAGACCACAAATCCTCGCTAAAGAACACCGATTCCTTCCAAGGATGATTCGCGAGGCTATTGAAATCAAAAAATCATATAAATCAAAAATCAATATATATATATATATATCATATATATATATATATATATATATATATATATATATATATATATATATAAACATGGGGGGTCATTGTAGAAGCGTGCTCGTCGCGACCCCTGCCAGCCTTTTTCAGGGCTGCAATTCTACACAGCTGCGCACCCATGAAAACGAGGTTTAAGGCGTCCCCCCAAGGCGACGCACACCAGCTCGTCTCCGTTGGTGTGGAACGCAGCGCGCAAAGCGGCGATGGGGACCGCCACCCGTCACGCACAGCCCGACACGGCGGAAGGTGGAGGACGGATTACAGAGTTGGCACGTGGAATGTTAGAGGGGGCATGAGAGATAAGACGAATGAGTTGATCGAAATAATGAAAGAAAGAGAATTAGATGTCGTGTGTATGTCGGAGACCAAACGGAAAGGCAGTGGTACTGAAGAGCTCCCTGGCGGGACGTTAGCTATATGGTCCGGAGTCCCGGAAAGCAAGAACGCCTGCCAGGGAGTGGGAGTGCTGTTGTCGTCCCGGTTGGTCGATCTTATGACTGAATACAAGGTTGTGAACTCAAGACTTCTCTGGGTTCGCTTCAAAATGGGACTGACGAAGTTATTCCTTTTGGCTGTTTATGCGCCGGTAGCTTCGTCGTCCAGGGCTGAGCTGGAGGAGTTTTGGGAGAATGTAAGAGAAGTTCTAGATTTGGTTAAGGGAAACGAAAGAACTGTTGTATGTGGTGATTTGAATGGATGGGTAGGTATCGCTCGACCAGGATACGAGTCGGTGCTTAGAAAGTTTGGCGATAAAAGGGTTAATGATGCTGGCAAGTTTATATTGCGAGAGTGCCGTGAAGCAGAGGCGAGCAGTAAGGCTCAGAGCCGTGCCAAACACTGTAGCGCAGAGAGTAGCTTGAAGGAACAGGAAGCATTATTATTCCAGTGCTGCGATGAACCTTGTGAAGCTAGATGGCTTGCAGGATATGAAGACTGCAGTTTATATCTGCTCGGGAGCGAATGGGTGGGGTATTCTATGACGATGATGAAGCTCGAAGTTTGCGAAGGTTGTTTGGTTGCGTGTTCAGATCACGTCGGGGTCACCACTGTGGCCGTGGAAGGAAAAGTGGAGATCTCCCGCCAGGCAAGGTGTTCTGCCTGGGGAGCGGCCGACACTCCGAGTGATATTTCGGAGAAGTTCTATATATACTGTCTATGATTCGGAATGTTAATAGCGCGATTTAGGCTTCGGTGTGTTTCGGTGTGCTAGTGGCGCGACGACAGCGCCGCTACACTAGGAACAAATATCACACGAGGGTAGCCGAAAAGCTTGACACCATCGATGGCAAGAAAGAATGTGTGGAGAGAACATGGCAGAACCTTAGGGATGGAATGGTAAGTGCAGCGGAAGAAGTATGTGGTACGACAAAAAGAGGTAGTAGTAAAAGAAGAGATGCATGGTGGAATGATGAAGTGAGAGAAGCTGTAAAAAAGAAGAAAAAAGCATGGTTAGACTACTTGGCCTCTAGTAACGATGAGCATATGAGAGAGAAGATGAAAGAAAGATATAAGCTGCAGAAAGTTCATGCGAAAACATTGATTGAGGAAGTACGTGAAAGGTGTAGAATAGAAGCGGACGAGAGGTTGTCGCACAACTTTAGGGAAAACTCCAAACTCTTCTGGAAAGAATTTGGAAGGTCCCGGAGTGGTGCGACAGCCTTAAGAATGAACAAAGTGCTTTTGAGAACCAATGACGTCCTCTCAGAAAAATCGGATGTCATGCAGCGATGGAGTGAATTTTATAGAGAAATGTATGCATGTCATGATCTTAGTGAAGGATCCGGGGGTGACGCCGTGACTGGCACGCCAGACACGGACCTCGATGACACTGAGGTCATCAGCATGAAAGAGATTGAACGTGCGATTCGAAGTTTGAAATGTGGTAAGGCTGCGGGACTAGACAGAGTTATTACTGAAATGGTCAAGTACGGTGGGCCTCGCGTCTGGGACAGCTTCCATCTGCTGTGCAATTTGTGCTGGCGGACGGGAGATGTTCCGGATGATTGGCGATCCGCGGTCATTGTGCCTTTATATAAAGGTAAAGGTTCACATTTTGACTGCGGGTGCTATCGGGCGATCAGCTTGACCAGTATATCAAGTAAAGTTTACTCGAAGGTTTTGACACGTAGGATGCAAGAGAAATCGGAAAGATTCTTATGGGAGGCACAATGCGGATTTAGACCTGGAAAAGGATGCACGGATCAAATGTTTTCTCTCCGCATGATCACGGAAAAGCTTCTGAGCGTTAACCAGAGGATTTTCTGTGCTTTTGTGGATCTGGAGAAAGCATTTGATAAGGTTATAATGTAAATAAATTATAATGTAAAAATATAAGGAAGAAATGTGGGAACTGTTGCCGGGATATGGTGTGGATGGTCGATTGCTAAGGGCTGTGCAGTCACTTTACTATGGCTGTGAAGCCTGTGTGCGGGTAAGGCATGACCTGTCACCCATGTTTAGCGTCCAAGCGGGCGTAAAACAGGGTTGTGTCATGTCTTCCTGGCTGTTCATACTGTATCTCGACAGCTGTTTACAGAAGCTGAAAAATTGCTGTTTGGGTGTGAAATTGGGTGACATAAAAGTTAATTGTCTGCTGTATGCTGATGATGCAATGCTTATTGCACAATCAGAAGCAGAACTGCAGGCATTAGTCACGTGTATGAAAGAGGAATGTGAAATTAAAGGTCACCATTTGAATGCTAATAAAACTAAGGTTCTGGTATTTGAAAAGGACGAAGAGAGAACGAAATGTGAAATATGGGTAAATCAGGAATGTTTAGAACAGGTAAATGAAATTGTATACTTGGGGAGTGCTTTCAGCCGGGATGGAAGATGTGATTTAGATGTGGATAGGCGTGTCGCTGCGGGAAACAAAGTCAATGGTGCCCTGAATGCATTAGTAAAAAGGCAAGGCGTGGTGAAGAGTGCACGCCTTGCAATACATAACGCAGTGTTGGTACCGACTTTGTTATATGGCGGCGAAACCTGGGTATGCCAGAAGAAGCATAAAAGCAAGTTGAATGCAGTGGAGATGCGATCTCTTCGTAAAATGTGTGGCGTTACCATAGCCGATCGAAAGCGAAACGAAGAGATTCGCAGTATGGCAGGATTGAAAGATGACCTTATCACAAAAATTGATAGGGGCGTACTCCAATGGTTTGGGCACGTTGAACGAATGAGTGAAGACCGAATGGTGAAGAAAATATATAGAGCGAAAGTAAATATTAAAAGGTGTCGTGATAGACCGAGACTAACTTTCGAAGAACATGTGAGCAAATTGCTCGAAGAGGGGAGGTTCAAGAGTACTCGGATACCTAGACGTGCATGTATGAAGAAGTTAATGAACCTGAAAGAAGCGAAAGAGGTATGTAAGGATCGTGACACTTGGCGATCTGTTCTCTCTGGCTACCCCGTTAGGGATTGTGCGTGAAGATAAGTAAAGTAAGTAAGTATATAAAACATTTAATTTGCTCACTAAATGAAATAATGTAGCAATCATCATATTTTGTGTAATAAAATAGTATATATTAATTTCACAAGAACGAAGATCCAGAACCATGTAGCTTATGTTATAGCTGTAGCACGAATGGGTCGGCTTGACCGGGGTTGGACCACGCTCCCACAGAATACCAGCGTAAAATAGCAGCTTAATGCTGCTGTGTTTTGTATGGTGTGTAGATAAACGGAAAACATTTTTCTAGAAACGAGGCATGCCATCTTAGTCTTCAGGTTGACAACGCATCTCAATTTTGATTCTCAATTGGGGAGAAACGTAGACCTTTAAGAACCGCAGATTCCACTTACCATCAGATGGACTGTGTTTGTCACTCCAATTCTTTAAAAAAAAATACATATAATTATTCCGTGCGGAATACGCGCGGGCCCCGCGCCGCATCTGCACCAAGAAGCCACAATACCAATTTTAAAAATGCTGCTATCAGTGAATTATTCGATCGATAGATAATACCCTGACTCTCACAACAGGCAAGAAATCAAGACATCAAGAAATTCAGTTATTATTGTCTGATACAACAAAGAACACATCCACTTAAAAAAAATATAAATTTCTAATTTATGGTTCATACAAAGGAAAATGTTATTTTCATGTTATAGAAATGATTTTAGAAGATAATTTAAATTCATACCATAATGTTTGCAATAGCAAACCAAATAATCTTCTCAACTTTTAGAGAACAATTTAAATATTATGTGCATAAAAGACTCACTATATTACTTAATGATGATGTCTTAGTTTTGCTTAGAAAAATACTACTGTACTTACCCAGCACTACTGCTCTTGTCAATTTTGTTCTTTGCATCATCCTGTTGAACGTTAGGTTCTCCTAAACCACCTGCACTACCAGAGCCAGAGTAAACTCTTCCAGGACCATCTACATTTCCAGAACCAGAGTATGATCCTTCAGGACCACCTATAGTTCCTGAACCAGAGTATGCTCCTCCAGGACCATCTATGGTTCCTGAACCATAGTAATCTCCGTCTGGACCACCTGCAGTGTCTGAACCAGAGTAGAAGCCCCCAGCACCACCCCGATCACCACGGTCACCACTGTAAAGAAAACATTTTATCTATATTCCTAATTATCATCATCATCATAATTGTATTGTCATATGAAACATAGTATCCCTATAAGTCTCTGTAATATAGTTGGACCAATTTAACTGGGGACACGGCAGTGCCCCCGTCAAGTCGAGCAAAAAAGCGGCACGGCCGTACCATACTTTTCTCGAAGCAATTCATGCCATTTTCGACCCACTATAACTTCGTTGTGGATACCTGAATGTGGATACCTAGAAACCTGAATTTTAAGAAACCAGGCAGGCATTGTATTGACACGGTATATTTCAAATTTCATTCAATTTGAACTAGTAGTTTAGGAATTATAATTAGTCAGTTTTTTTAATTTTGTCACTCACTGACTGACCGATCATCAAAACTCTAAGGCATTTCTAGCAGACATAGGAGCTTCAAACTTCGAACATAATTATTGTTTAGTGTATTAATCAAGTAAAATCCAAAATATTTTTCAATTTCGATCCAGTTTTCTAGATACACTAACTGCATAAATAACTTTGTAATCCCATATGAATATATAGGATTACAAAGTTAAGTTTGCAGTGAATGAATCAGTTTTTTTAAAGAATATTAAAAATGCTATAAACATTACTAATATTCCCCTAAACCACTCGTGGTAAGCTTAAATTGCTTGTGTTACGAGTGCTTCACGTCAGTAGTCGAATGGCGGATTCGAACCCACGACCTTTTTGAGTTCGCGGTTCGCGCCCTGCCATTAGCAAGCTATTTATTTAAACCATAAAAGATTTTTAATATTGATATGGTCACAATAAGATGTTGTTAGGTTAGCTAATTACGGAATAACTTAAGACAGAAGGACCCTTAAGTAGGGACTGAATAAATTAACCAACTTGTTATTACATGGATCTCACAACTTTTTACGATAGAAGAACTGAGTTGCGAGACTTGGTTTTTTTTACAAGTTATGTTTTTGACGGCATATACAGTCTTCTGTAAAGCGTTTTGTAATTTGTCGGCGATGACTCTTAGAGAGTTGTTATGATGTTGACTTGTAACGGGGCGCCGCTATATATATTTTTCGTTCGTTAAAACGAGTTTTAGCGAATTTTTCTCGGAGACAGCGGTTTTTTGGACCGTTACGACATTGTAATGTTCAAGAAAAGAGCTTACTCCCTTATAGCAATTACTGGCAATGAACCAGAAATGCCCCTGGTGTTGCAGTTGCTCATGGACGGCTGTAGTCACTTTCCATGAGGTAAGCTGCATGTTAGTTTGCCCCCTCTTCTATTAAAAAAAGACATCTTGACCGATTTAGATGGCGTTATTGATGTCACATAGCATATTAGGATCCTTAGAGTGATCACTATGTTAATGTCATTATAACAGAGCTAGATCAAAGATAGATTTGTGGCTTTTCTTCGGTTTCCTCGATTTGCGACCCATGCATTGTGTTTCAATCGCTCTAAATATTACAATGCTATACTATGATGTGGATCGCTGAATTATTCTTTAATTCAGATTAGTTATTTGTACGCCATCTTAAGATCAAATTCAACTAAGAGCCACATAAGCTTGCCCTTTGGCGAATGTTTTGAGTCCAAGATTTACTGTAGTGCCTTGCAATTTATGCACGGTAACGGCCCAAATTAATATAAGTGGAATCATTACTCTACATCCACATCTATCGAATCTACTAAGTACCTTCACAGACGTGGCACTCTTTGAAAATGTACAGGTTACTTGAAACAGTTACTCCTATTAACGCGTGGTAATTGCTTCAAATCACCAAAAATGAGTTACACATTTACATCGCCTCAAGCCTCAAGTGAATGCAGTGAAACATTCCATATACCTAAACCATAGAAATTTCATCGACAATTATCCAACACACATTACATTAATAATTATGGTTTTCCATTTGGGTTTCATATCTTCTAAGCGTTTATCTCCTAATTGTAGACAAGTGGTCGCTGAACCTTTTTTGGTACCCAATTAAAATGCACTGTGAGAAATTATTCATTTCACAAGGCAAGGTGCTACCCTGATAAGAGCAGTGACTTCAACAAAACATGGCTGAATTAAAGTAGAAGTACTTTGTCTTATAACATATTTTTATTTGCTTAACGTTTGCTCTCAGAGCAAATTTTTTACCAGATCCTGCTTTTCCTGTTATTAATAATTTCATTGTATCATCTTAGTTTCGTAGCTTTCAGACAGTTACGTAAGAATTCTCTAAAAAATCTAAAATATAAAACATAATTAATAAAAAGTTTAAAAAATCCATGACTGATATAAAGATTATATTTGAAACAGGATAAACAAAATTTTAGAGAAATAAAATAAAGTAAGGCACAAAAGATAAAAATAAAATGTATATGTGAAGTCGATCATCCCACGTTGGAGTCAGCGCAGCGAACTCTTTGCGGCATGTGCCCAATAGTTATGTGCCCAGGATTTATGGTAGCCTACCATAAGCTACCCAATATACTAATTACGGATTTTCGTGGTCCTCATACCTTTTGTACCTATTGGTATGTTGCAGCGATAAACACAACAATAATATCAAATATTATTGGTACTACACATATTCACCTACCTATTGGGTAATATCTTTACAAATCCAAGAAAATCCGTCAATGCCATTACCAGCTTTGCTCACTAGGTGCTCTGCACTTATTTCTGTATAAAAAAGCTAAGAGATGCAGAAAATCATATCAATTAAAGATTACATTTATTTACGTACCCAAATTAATTTCAATTAGTGATAAACTCATATAAATTCTAAATTTTAGTTCATTTCAGGGCAGGGAATGGCATCCTATTAAAATAAATAGTAGTTCGTTAAGTATTTCACTTATTGATACAAATCAACATATATATATATATATATATATATATATATATATATATATATATATATATATATATATATATATTATTTGGCAATAACCTTACTAAAACAGAAATATGTTTTTAGTAAGTTTATTGCCACATAAAATGGCAACAGGGAAGAAAACTATAATCTATATACAGCTATCCCATTTGTTATAAGGTCTAATATTTAAAATATAAACTTGCAAAAACACATGACAGCGATAACGGATATTACACGCTTTATATTATCTTGACCTGTATACATGTATGAATAAACATTATTTTTTCGGACGTTTCGGTACTTGTGACAATACAATTTTTTTATATAGAAGAGGGGGGGGACCAACATGCAGCGCACCTGATAGTAAGTGTTGACCGCCGCCCATTAACAGCTGCAACACTAAGGGAATCGCATGTGCGCTGCCAGCCTTTTAAAAAGGAATAAGCTCATTTATTATAGGTCCCTAAGTCTTATCGATTGGATATAATGCGGGTGGTAAACATTTCAGCAAAAATGTCACGGAAGAAAACTACTAGTAAATCAGAGGACTTTTAATAGGCTGCAATGATAATGATGATTAGATGTACTAATGTCTACTCTTAATATTTACGGTAGAATGAAAACAAAAATGTAGCAGCTCCGAAAATATGAATGAAAAAACTGCACCCCTATAAAATTAAAAAAGGAACAACTAACATAAACCCCACTACTGGGCACAGGCCGCAGAGAGTTTTGAGAAAAGAAAGTGTTAACATACTGTTGCGCGCCTAAGTTGACGTCATGTACCCGGCACTAGCGCCATCTAGTGTCGGTGACGAGAGAGAGGAGGGCTTCCTAGAAAATGTCAATCTTGACTTTCGACCAACAGCGACATCTAGTATCGAACAGAAGAATTAAGCTTTCTGGAAGCCCCATACTCGAACTTTCTGCGCCTGGTCGGTTGGCGCGCGTATTTACTTGAATATTCTGGACGTTTCAGTGAAAAATGTGTATTTAAAGGCGCTGCAAGACGCGGCCGGGGCAGTATTGAATTTGGTGAGACAAGCGAAGCTTCGGAGCGAAATAAAGTGAATCAGTGTAATTAATTATTAGTGTTTTAAGTTTTAATTGGTGTAAAGAAAATTAAAGTGTTAATTTAGGTAATTCTATCGGCAATTTTTATTGTCACGAACCTCAAGCTCGTAACAATACAAAGCTATTTTGCGAAATAGTTTTAATAAACAGAATACTTCTTTCAACATATATTCAGAAATCAATTCAGAATAATTAGTTACGTTACATTCCATCTATCCATCGATTAGAGCCTATCAATGTCCACTGCTGAACGTAGGCCTACCCCAAAGATTACCTTACAGGCTTGACAAGAGGATTGAAGACCGCAGTTTTTATTTTCTGGTTGTTATTAGGAATACACTGCTGCTCATATCCTAGTTTGGTTAAAAAAATATTTTAACCGTTCAATATTTGTTAGAAAAGTAAAATAGTAAACTGTAGTTATTTTCATTTGTATTAGATTTACACCACTTAATTTTTGCTATTTCAGGTGACCGCCACGCTTGGTTGTGGTGTGAGCAACCGCAGCCCGCGTAGGCAGTACTACAAAAATATCTCGATATTTTCTCTGCCTGCTACTGGGTGGACTCTCGTTTGCGTACTTGCACTCCGAAATCTCGTTCACTCTGATTCGCACAATATCTATAAATGCTCGCACTAGCCTAGTGGTCGTAAACGCAGTTGCTGGTCCTGACGTCCTACCCTCGAACGGGTTCCCGCCTTGTTGTGGCCGGGGGGCTTAGTAGCGGTAGCTTGGTCACCCGCGGTGAGCAAAGAGGAACCCACATGGCTTGCCCGAGGTAAAGGGCCGGCCCGAGGTGGCCACTCCGAGTGGGCTTGGCGAGCTCACTTCGGATGTGTGCTTGTGGGCTGCGGCAGGAGGGGTGTCCTCTCCCCCTTCCACTGCAACCGAGGTGGAGTCACGGAGGAAGAGGAGTGTTGGTATGGTGATACCAACGCTCCTCTTCCAAAGAGCTGGCTCAAAGAGGCTCAAAGAGGGCTGCACCGTTGATGCGGTGGCAGTGGGGCTGCGGGGGGAGGGGAGTGTCGCTATTGCGAGGCGACGCTCTCCTTACCCTCCACAGCCGAATCTTGGTTAGCGACGGGGCCTTAGACCAGATCCGCAGCTGGATTCAGGAAGGCTAGTGCTTCTGAGTGCTTGTTTTTTCTTGGCCCCATAGCCTTCGCGCATTGGACACGGGGGCGTCCGTTGCGCAGATGTAGTTGGAGGCCGTGGAGGAAGGCGTGCAACGTATTCTGGTGTGCTTTACCTAAGAAGGAGAAGGGGGAGGAATAGTCCTCTTCCGAGGAGGCGCCGCCATGGGGCAGCCAGCGCTGGTGGGGCCGTCGATGTGTGCGATAGCGTTCTCGTGGCCCTGCCAATATGCTACGAAGGTGGAACACCATGGGATTTTAGTCGGTGCGAGTCCGACATAACCCATTCATGCCCCCGCCAGGCGGGTATGCGTAGGCATTTTCCCATGTAAAAAAATGGTCCTGACGTCCTGGGCTCAAATTCCGATAGCCAAAGTTTTGTTATTGGATTTTTCTGTCAAGAAATTTTCAGTAGTAGCCTAGTGCTAGGAAGTTGGTGGTATTTCATCTGCCGTGCCTCGTAAAGCACCTCGTAAAACTGTTGGTACTGGGCCTAATTTCTCTTTGGTCTTGTCGGATATCCGTCCTATCAGAATATGAGAGTGAGGGAATAGACAGCGCAATTGTGCTTGCTAATACTCTCCCACACGGGTGATTAGTCTCCGTCGTGATCAAAAATCAGTCTAGAGAACATTATTAAGGCTCATATTGAATAATACAAGTAAATACTTCAAAACTAATATACACACATCGAGTAAATTTACAATTACGGCCGCGAACCTGTCACTCCAGAAATGTGTTTAGAAATTGTATTAAAAGCCAACATAAACCTGTAGAACAATATTTCACAAAATTTTAACCGTTAGAATTCATTTGTTATACATTTTTATACGTGGTAGAGCCATGCTGCAGTTATATTAGATGTATAGTTGTAGCACGAATGGGTCGGCTCGACCGGGGAAGGACCACGCTCTCACAGAATACCAGCGTGAAATAGTAGCATAATGCTGCTGTATTTCGTATGGTGAGTGTAGAGAACCGGAGACCCATTTACTGGACGCGAGGCATTCCATCTTAGTCCTCACGGGTGACAACGCATTTGCATTTTGATTCGTAATCGAGGATAGATGTAGATGTCTATGGGCCACAGCAACCACTTACCATCAGGTGAACTGTGTGCTCGTTTGTCACCCTATCCTATAAAAAAATTATCTAAAATATCTCTATAAAACCTTTATTTACGCTGATGACCCTACCAGTGTTCACTGAAGTCTTTTAAATAAAAAAAAAATTAAATAAATGAAGGATAAAATTGAATCAATTGTTCAATGTTAGTGCTAGTGTTTAACAAAATTTATAATAACAAAATACCTACATGTATGCACCAGAGTTGTCGGGGATGTAGCATCCAGAACTGTCATAGCGTCCTGGATTGTAACGGCCAGGATCGTAATGACCAGGGTCATAACGCCCTAGATCATACCTTCCAGGGTCATAGCGACCAGGATTATAACGTCTAGCACTATCATACGTAGTTAAATATCCAGGTGTAGTGGTAATGTACTGGAAAGGGTTGTATCTACGAATAATAATAACACTTAATTTCATAATGAATTTAGGTTATACGAATACAGGGAACTATATATATATATATATATATATATATATATATATATATATATATATATATATATATAAAAATTACGTGTCACGTTGTTTGTTCGTGATAAACTCCTAAACTACTGAACTTATTTCAATATAATATTGCACACTATATGCAGTTTGGTCAAACTTGAGAGATAGGAGAGTGTTTATCCCAATAAGTGACCCTCGATGTATTTTATTACGAATTAAATGATATTTTATATGACAAAGGGTCGTCGGATAGGGCAGCTCAACGTCTGCCTGTCCAGCTAGTATATATATATATATATATATATATAGGTACATATATAAATACATACCGCATTATGAAACTAACATAACCTGAAACCATTCTTATCATGAAACTATATTATCTTGTTTCAAAAGATATTAAAAAAATATGAAGATATTCGGACTACAAAAAAAATTAGGTTTATAACGATCTACTGCTATCGCGCTGATTGCACGCGAACCCTGCGAAAGTAAAAACTGCCCGGACTGATCTGGACCTCATCAAAAACTGGGTTAATTTATAGTTTCAAGAACATCATAAAATAATAAACATATCTCAGTATTATTTACTGTAGTTTTTTTAAATATTAAACTTAAGTGATAAGCGAAGTTTTAGTCCACCTGACGATAAGTGGCTACAGCAGTCAATGTACATGTACAGCCAAAAGGCTATAGAGTGGCATACAGTTTCAACTGGAACACAGCTGTGCTGGCACTGCTTTGCCGGCTAGAATAAGTCATAAGTTGGCACCTACCCAGAGACACTGCTAGAGGAAAAAGGAGTCTTACAATCTAGTAGTGTCATTATCCAAGGAGAAAAGAGGATAGTAAGAAAATAGTTTATATGCATAGTTGCATGCAGTTAAACAATTAGCTCTTTTGTCGCTTTTATGTTAAAGAAAATAACAATTAAATGTGCAAACCATTTAAATGTTATTTTCTTAGTATTTTGTATTTAATTAAGAAAAACTAAATTAAATACAAAACCTAATATACTCTTAGTATTTTGTATTTAAATACAGTAAAAAAGGATTAATGCTTAGATGTAAATACTTGAAGACCTGAATATTATAACACACTTTTATTTGTAAGATATATTAGTAATACGCCAAGTAAAAATAGGCTTACCTTCCAGTGCCAGCCGCTAAGGCATTTTTTGGTAAATTGAAGAAAGACGTGCAAAGCGCACACATTTAAAACATCAGTTGCTACCCCTCTCATTTTCTTATCTAAGAATCTAGTACGTTAATACGCTATTGCAAAGAATGAATCCGTTTATAGTACTAGTTTAATATGTATATATTAGTTAAATATATATATACTTTTTCTTGTCTGTTATTTGTTAACAGAGATTCTCAATCTTTGCGCCTTAACTTTATTTATTTACGAATATTGCCTTTACTTAAAACGATGACAAATCAATAAATAACTGCAAATAAATGCAGTGATTTATTTATTTACCATCGTTTCCATTTTTGAAGCAATATTTGACGATGACTCTACGTTTGATACTAAATCGCTACTGGTTTAATAACGGAATAGCACCAGATGTAACTTACGATACTGCGTGGGTGCTCTTTTGCATATAGGTATCTTAAATTATGGATAAGCGAATGAAACTAAATATATGTAAATGATCACAACGAATACATAAGAATTATTTCTAATTTATTGTGATCGCTAGACTGTCTATATAGTTAGTATATGAACATTATATTGATTAAAAAATTAATACTACTAGTTTTTTTTTTCTAAAAATATCCTTTTACTACCATATAAAATTTGAATTAAATATTTTATATACAAAGAGAGAGAAATGCTTCGCTTTTTGGGATATCCCACTACACTAACAATATGTTTCTATTATCAATGTAGACATTTTTATGACTTATTCTTAAGTTAACGTTATGTTATTATAGGTAAATGAAATAAAAGTACTAAATATCATATATTGATATATAGTATATTTTACAAACAAACAAAAGTATAAACAGCTTAAAATAGTAATTACGTAACAATTTTTAAATAATTATATTACATTATTGTAATAGCCTGTAAATTATCTTAACGAGCAACTCGAACACCTAAGGTATACGAGTGCGAACGGGTATAAAACCACGCTCATCTGCAGTGTAATCAACTCTATAAGTAACTCCGTCGGGAGCAACGAATTGATAGAATCCTCTCGACCTTGTACCATAGTTTTCATTATCAATTTTTTCGACTTTCCCAGATTCCTCAGCAAGAATTGTGTTCTCAGTTTCATAAAGGTAGTGATATCCATCGGGAGGCAGATAATCATTTTCTAAACGGATAATACCATATTTATATTCATATTTACCCTTATTCATTTTACTTATTATCGCAACTAGCGGTGGTTGCCTAGGTACAGGCGTTGTTGTTGAACTGTACTCAGGAAATGAACTCGGACTTGTTGATGGGCTCAGTGACGGACTGGAAGATGGAGAAGGACTAGGGGAAAGTGTTGTAGTAGGTTGAGGCGCTTTTGTGGGTGTTGCGGCGAATTCGGTGATTGTTGACGGAAACGAAGAAACAGTATTAGTGGTACCGCTGTTGTCAGATCCAGTGAAAGCATTTCCATCGTAAGTTCCATCCGATCCACCACGTCCGCCGCTGTAAATTTAATATGTATATTACTTACATCGTCCCTGCCTCGTATCTGTAAAGGTATTCATTGATAATCGTAAATTCCGATTAAAAATCAAAGGTAATTACATAAATATTCCGAGGTCCCCCGATAACCGTACAACCATATAATATAATATCTTTATTCAGATAAGTTATATGAAGCAGAAGTTAGTTGTTTATACAGAGCTAATCTATTGGCCCAGTAAAAACTATTTTTACTCAGATAATGACATTGGCTATAAAAGTAATCTCCTAAATACTTAGTATGTCATTCATTACTTTTCTATCCACATTACCGTTTGCATGTCTCTTGACAATAGCTTACCGATACGTATTATGCAAGCTGGCAGACATTAAAAATTTAATATTTTTAGTTTGAATAATTTATTATAATAATCTTACTCGGAAGAGCCATTATCCCCTTGTGGATTGTAAAAGCCTCCTGGGCCATCTGCAGTTCCGGAACCTGTGTAGAAACCTCCTGGGCCACCCGCAGTACCGGAACCTGTGTAGAAACCTCCCGGGCCACCCGCAGTACCGGAACCTGTGTAGAAACCTCCAGGGCCACCCGCAGTACCGGAACCAGTATAGAAACCACCGGCACCACCACGGTCTCCGCGATCACCACTTAAATTAATCCAATAATTTATTACTAAAATTCATAAAACTACATATTAATATTTTTAGTAAATCACTTTATAACTACCGGTGCCCTAATATTTCATAGAAAACTTCCATCACCAGTACTGAATATGTAGAACCAGTAATGAATAGGTAGAAGCCTTGCATTCAGGATACATTGTTATTCATATATAATGAACCACCTCAGCCCACTAATCGTTCATCACTGTTCTTCTAACTTATGCTTACAATTTTGTACTGCATTAAAATTACAATAGTACAGTACCATAGCCAGAGCCGTGGTCGCTCAGATGGTTAAGGCTCGCTGTAAATTTCACAGTACGCGAGCAAACCGGGTTGGACGAAATGGCACCAATGAAATTGAAATTTTAAGTGTTGATTTATCACGTAATCGGCGGTGAAATAAAACATCGTGAGGAAATCTGCATGTCTGAGAAATAAGAAAAAAATATATCGAAGAAATGTGAAGCTCTCCAACACAGCTCACAGGGGCACCGTAACGGACAATTCCTTGCCCTAAAACCCTTCAGAAATGAGCAGAGGCCTGTGCCCAGGAGTGGGACGTATATAGGCTGTAACTAACTAATTAACTATTTACCATATAAATATTTTTATGCACTTAAGTAAGCAGGTGGCAACTTCTAAACAAAACTTTAGTTAATTTCGCACGCCATTCTATTTCGTTTATTTATTGGTAACTTATTATTATGAACGAAATAGTTTATACAACTTACTTATATTTGCCAGAATCGTCAGGAATGTAACGCCCAGATTTGTCATATTTACTAGGATCATAACGACCGGGGTCGTATTTACCCGGGTCGTAACGACCTGCATCATAGCGTCCAGAGTTATAACGCTCGGGGTCGTAGCGACCAGGATTATACCGACCAGAATTATCAGAAGCAGTCGTCGTGTATCTTCCAAAATTGTAATACAAAGCCGGATTATAACGAGAAGTTGTCGTGATAAACTGGAAGGGTGATGGGCTGTAACAGAGTAAAACAATATTTAATTCATTATATTCAACGCAAGGTTCATTATAAAATATTTATTTGATAGAAATTTACCGTTCAGTTTCCGCCGCAAAAGCGCATGTAAGCGTCAAACATAGTACCTTGAATGAGAAAGAACGCATTAAGTTGTAAATACTTTATACTCTCTCCGCGCAAATAAAGTTTGCAATAAAAATATTTAAATTGTTGTTTTAAATTAACATAATGGACTGACTATAAAATGTGAATTTAACTGTATTTCTGTAAACATTTGCATATATTATCTAGATTACTTAAGTATTATCTAGATTACTTAAGTATTATCTAGATCACTTAATCAAAATTGTACACACCAAAATACCCTGCATTTCTGTTTCTTCTTTGTGAGCTTTGCTACTTGAATGTGTTGCTTGCAAAATCAAAGTCTATATTTATACCTTTTTTTCACCTTAGTCTCAATATAGTTTCACTTCTGTTCTGTAATTATTTATAATATGTAAACAAACAAGATTATTCATTCACAGAGATTCCCAATCTTTGTACTATTGACTACAAAATTTCCTGTGCATCTTAACATGGAAACTTGGTTTCTATGCAATATTACCAGTTATTAACAGCTAAATAGCAGCTCAATAGATTATTCGTTCGTCAAAAATCTATGGAAACTACAGATCAAAATAATAACTTATAATAAAAATAAGATTAAAATGCAATTAAAATAAAATATTCGTTTTTTTACATGTTTTATAGTGATTTGTTATATCCTAGTTTATATTTTAACAGTCGTTAAAACAATTTTTACTCACCTGTTTATTTAAATTATTACTTATTTTTAATTATCAAACAACCCAAACAATAAAATTGTATTTTTGAAGTAGTTGCAGTTTACCGTTTCGCCGAAATCGGTCATCTGGGGACCTTCCAGCGTATGCCACACACGTATGGGGCGAGGCACTTGAAAACAGTGGGGAAGCACTTGCTGTTTCCCTTGATGTCTCGAAGGCCTTTGACAGAGTTTGGCACTTTTGGATAAGCTTCCAGCGTACGGCCTATCCCCTGGTCTGATTGAATGGATAAAGGACTTTCTGGGTGAACGGTCTCTCCGAGTCATCATCGATGGCTGCTCACCCGATCCTGTAGCGACTGACGCCGGTGTTTCTCAAGGGTTCGTTCTCTCCGCAACTCTCTTCGTGCTGCATATTAATGATCTGCTTATGTCCAGCAGTGGCTGTTAAAAATATCCACTACCCCATATCTTCCCGTGGTTGTCGTAAAAGGCGACAAAGGGAAACAGGCAGGAGATGGGCAGCAGCATCTTCTTGATATCAGCAATTATACAAAACAAAACTGCGGTTGCCAACCCACTCGTCAAGCGTGGCAACTATGGCAATATACCTCCCATGAGAAACGACGCAAATAGATGGCCCCCAGTCCCCGGCGGCCCTGCTATTCCTGGCTACGGTGGCGAACATGGCAACGGCGTGGCGATCATAGTAACGGCGTGGCAGGGGATGCTTAGAATATCCGGTGAAGGTTCGATTGCCACCTACGACGACTCGACCTGGCAACATATAACGCACGCACCCTGAGGGCTGACGAGAAGATCCTGGAGCTGGAAGAAGAGATAGTCAAGTTGCGCTGGAATATTATAGGATTATCCGAGGTCCGAAAGGAGGGGAAGGACACGATGATTCTCGAATCCGGCAAGTTGTTCTATCACCGGAAGGGCGACCATCTGTCCCCAGCAGATGTTGGATTTATCGTCCACAAGTTTCTAATTAACAACGTTGTAAAGATTGAGATTGTATCGACGAAGGTCGCGTATCTTATACTCAGAATCACCAAACGGTATTCGCTGAAGGTCCAACAGGTGTGAAATGTATGAAGATATTTCTAGAGCCATGCATTCGTCCAAAACTCACTATACGGTTTTAATGGGAGACTTCAACGCAAAACTGGATACAAGAAAGATTTCCCTACCTTCAGCTCACCGTGAGCTGATGTAAGGGAAATTGGGATAGGGCAACGGAACCCAAGGGGCCAGCAGCTGGCTGACTTTATTAAGAAAGAGAGACTTTTTGTGATGAACTCTTTCTTCCAGAAGCGGCACCACAGGAAGTAGACCTGGTCGAGCCCCGACGGTTCGACAAAAAATGAGATTGACTTCATTACGACGATCAGACGCCAACTGTTCAGTGATATCTCAGTGATCGCAAGGGTGAAAACTGGCAGCGATCACCGAATGGTTAGAGGCATACTGAAGCTAAACGTTAAGTTGGAGAGGTCTCGTCTAATGAAGTCAACGCTCCGTCCCCCTAGTGCTCTAATCCAGAATCCCGAAACCTGTCAGCTCGAGTTACGTAACCGCTTTCAGTGCCTAGAAGATTGCAGTGCCCATTGCATTACACACGATATGAATGACAAGCTCATGGAACCCGCCGCAGAACACAAAAACTCTCCGATCACACTCTTAATCTCATGGCTGTTAGACGGGAGGTGAGGCTGCAATCGTCAACAGATATGACAGCGTACAGGCAACTGAACAGACAGATCTCCAAATGCATGCAGCGAGACTTACGCAACTTTAATACTGCTCGTATTAAAGAAGCGATTGAACGGAACCAGGGTTCCAAAGTCTTTGCCAGAGATCTGTCTACCAGAAAGAGCCAACTGTCAAAGCTGAAGACTGAGTGTGGCAGCATCGTTTTCGGAACACCTGAGATTTTGAGTGAGATTGAGAGGTTCTATGGGTAGCTGTACACATCATCATTGGATCCACATGGAAGTGTAAGTAACGATCGAAGAGCAAGTCTTATCCGACACTATTCCGATGATATCCCGGACGTCAGTCTGAGCGAGATTAGAATGGCTCTCCAGCACCTTAAAAACGGCAAGTCCCCGGGCGAGGATGGAATTACAGCTAAGCTTCTGAAAGCGGGTGGAATACCGGTACTTAAAGTCCTTCAGTAGCTCTTTAATACCATCCTCCATGGTGGCACTACTCCGGAGGCGTGGAGCAGAAGTGCGTGGTCATATTCCTTAACAAAGGCGACAACGCTCTCTTGAAGAACTACAGACTGATTTCCCTTCTGAGCCGCGTTGGCGTCTACGTGCTGTTTTTGAGAGTCATTACGAATCGTCTCACACGCAGACTCGACGACTTCTAGCCTCCCAAACAAGCCGTTTTCCGAAAAGGCTTCAGTACCATAGACCACATACATACCCTGCGGCAGATTATGCAGAGGACCGAAGAGTACAATCTGCCACTTTGCCTGGCGTATGTGGACAGTTTACGGTGCTACAGTCCCTTCAGCGGTGCCAAGGTGATTATTGGTATATTGAAGTGCTGAAATGTTTATATAGTAGAGCTGCTATGGCTATCCAAGTACGGAACCAGAGTCGAAACCTATCCAACTGCAAAGAGGTGTAACACAGATTGACGTTATATCCCGAAAACTCTTCACCGCGGCATTGGAAGACGTTTTCAAGCTACTGGACTGGAAAGAATACGGTATTAACATCAATGGCGAGTACATCACTCACCTTCGATTTGTCGATGATATAGTTCTTATGGCAGAATTACTGGAGTACCTAAGCACTATGCTCAATGACCTCAATGGTGTCTCCCAACGGATAGGTCTTAAGATGAACATGGACAAAACAAAAATCATATTTAATGTCGATGTCACACCTATGCCGGTAGTTTTTGGGAGCACTATGCTCGAAGTTGTTGACGAATACGTTTACCTGGGACAAATAGTCCGACTAGGTAAGTCCAACTTCGACTAAGAAGTCCATCGACGGATTCAACTCGGCTGGGCAGCGTTCGGGAAATTACGACACATCTTCTCGTCAAGTATACCTCAAACTCTGTAAACTAGATTGTACAACCAGTGCGTGTTGCCAGTGATGACTTACGGATCTGGGACGTGGTCCTTCACTGCTGGCCGTATGAGGTCGAGCTATGGAGAGGGCTATGCTCGGAGTTTCTCTGCGTGATAAACTCAGAAATGAGCATATCTGCAGTAGAACCGGAGTGACCGACATAGCCCAACGGATAGCTAAAGTGGCAATGGGCCGGCCATATAGCTCGAAGAACCGATAACCGATGGGGAAAAAAGTTTCTCGAGTGGTAGCCTCGTACTGGTAGGCGTAGTGTAGGGCAACCCCCCACTAGATGGAGTGGCGACCTGGTAATTCATGCAGAAAGTAGATTGATGCAGGTGGCTCAGGACCGTTGGGGGAAGCCTATGTTCGGCAGTGGACTTGTGAAGGGCTGAAATGATGATGATGATGACGATTATGCCTGGTATCTATGGGTATTCAGACGATAGCATAGTTGTGGAGAGATACCAACCAAGTACTCGGGCCAGTCTGGATTAAATCCAGCCCGAAAGAGAGGCTATGACTGAGCGTGTGAATCTCACATTACAGGCAGTCTCCGAATGGGGCGTTGCCAATCTCGTGAGATTCAACGCTTCCAAAACTCTAGCGTGTCTTCACCACAAAAAGGAGCCAGCTCACGCTGGCTCTCACTTTACGGAATGTATCCTTGGAATGAACAGTAACCACCTCCAGTTGTTAGGGATTGAATTTTCTCCGAACCTCAACTATGGGCGGTTCATTGAGACCAGAGCCAAATCAGCCGTAAGGAAACTTGGTGTTCTTGCAATGGTGCGGCGATACTTCACGCCGGGACCTTATAAAGCGCATGTCCAATTGTGCATGGAGTACTGCTGTCACATATGGGCTAGTGCTGCAAAATGCTACCTGGCAGCGTTGGACTCAGTACAGAGACGTGCTAAGAGGCTCATTGGTGACCTTGATTTGGTTAAAACCAACTTTCTCAGCCTCGAGCACAGGCGCAGAGTAGCCAGCCTCTCGTATTCTATAGGATGCATTTCGGAAAGTGTGGAATTGCACGCTTTAATTCCTCCCTCTCTTTTCCACCATCGGACGAGCAGGCGAGCGGCAGGTCTTCACCCCTTTTTCGATATTCCACGCATTAGAACCAAATTGTTTACTTCGACTTTTTAATACATATAGCAAAGGGGTGGAATAATTCTTCGGTGTCTATCTTTCCATCCGAATATAATCTCGGCATCTTCAAGGCAAGAGTGAATAGGCATTTGTTACGCTAAGACAGTGCGACTTACAACTTGACTTGACTGACAAAGTCTTGTCAAGCACTGGCTTATAAAAGTAAAAAACGTGCTATACGAGCTGGTTCACCTTCATCTAGTTATAAGTAATTTATTACTAGACAAGGGTCTCTCTTATAAACGAAAGTTAGTCAAAAATGCCATACGTAAAGTATGGCATTTTCGACAAATTTTCGCTGACAGATCAGCGCTCACAAATCTCTGGT